TAATAATAATAATAATAATAATAATTTAAAGTACTGCTGGCATCCTAAGTGGGTCATTATCAAAAGCCTACATTAGACTATTGGTTTATCTAGTTGTTCCTTATGTATCATTACAGAAATAAAAGATAACCAAATTAGATGGTACACCCAAGCTTCCTTTTTGGTCAGAGAACACAAGCATACTGCTTCACTTGTGCACAAACTGGAGGGAATTTAAGGGAACAGAGCAATGATGTGGTGACCAAGTATGAGAAAAACAGAGAAAATCAATCAGAGGTTTCACTAAATATCAACTAAGAGTAGGCACGGGGGGAAACAAAAAGATTGGGAGGTGTAAGCATGAGGTGTAGTTATTTAGGGTGTATAAGGCGATGTATTTTCATTTAGGTTTGCTTGGTAACCTAACATTACTGAAAATAACAGTGTTAAAGTAATTCTGAATTAAGCTGAAAATGGTTGTACTCAGGTTCCTGCAAATCAGAACAAAATAGCATCAACTGACTTTTTTCTATTCTTCTTGTCTATACCCTAGGCTGACTTGTTTTCCCCAAGATGCTTCCCCATCCCAATACCTGCCCTACCATCTCTCTGTCTTAAAAATCACTGCTCTGTCATGTGCTCAGTCACAACAGGGAAAACACGGAAATTTATGATATCATACCCAGAAACAACATGAGCACTTGCAGTTTGATAACTTACCTCCCCAACAGTAGCTAAGGTGGCTAAAGCTGCCAAAGAGCCCAGCATCGCTGCAAGGGTCCTGTGAACAATCTGCAACAAAGGGTAAGAATTGACCAGAGACTCCTCTAAACATCTCTCTGCTATTAAAAAGGAGGAGGGGAAAGGATAAAAATTCCTGTAGTTGATTCTTTTCTTGGTTTGTTTGGGTTTTTTTTCCTTATTCCACCCCACCCACCTTGAAGAAGACCTGACCAGAAATGGCTGATTACTTTGCCTCACTATAGGATGTTATTTAAAAAAAAAAAAAAAAAAAAAGCCATGCCTGTGCAAAACCCCGCTATGAAGTCTCAGCTCTGATCTCAAGGCAGACTAGAGACTTCAGCACCACTTTCTTATATTTCCCAACAGGTGACCCACGAAGGAAAGCAATTCATCTTCCCTAACTTAGGGATCAAAAAGCCTAGTCCTGTTGGCTTCCCTTCACAGCCCATGGGAAGAACACACATGCCCAGGAGGTGACCCACTTCATTCTTTATAGGTGCTTGTTCATCTCCAGTGTCTACAAAGCAATTCCCAAGCAAATAGCTCAGACCTGGGGCAGTTATACCCTACACATAGAATCACAGAGTCATAGAATCATTTAGGTTGGAAAAGACCTTTAAGATCATCCAGTCCAACCATTAACCTAACACTACCAAGTCCAGCACTAAACCAATTAAGGGTAAAGTAATAATTTCAGTACATACACAGATATAATAGACTTTGAGTTTCCATATCCAGTTTGTGGTCTGGGGCACAGATAGATATGTCAAGCCTGTGCACCTGCTTTCTGTCTCACACACACAGAGTTTTCTTCCTTCATGAAGTGTTTTTTTACATCAGCATTTTCTGTACAAAGTGTTTTGCCTTCAAGAAAACCGTATACTCCACCTAAAATCTGCTGGACACCTTTGCCTCAGTCTCCTCAGTTCCTAAAAAGCTGCCTTCACCACTTTATAGACAACCTAGCCTTGAATGGTTCTTCTCCTTCATCTCTAATGTTTCTCCAGCATACAAGCAATGCATCTGAAAATAACATCCAAACCTTGACCACAACACAGACATTCATTTAATACTGCAACAGTTACTATACTATATGGATATATGTCCACGTCTATGTATCTAATGAATAAACTGCACTTAAAATTTTCAAGGAGAAAGTGTAAAAGCAAGCATGTCCTGAAAATGTGCTTTTTCCTCCAAGTGCTCATTTGTAGTTATTTAATCCACCATGTCTGGAAGATCACAGAATGTGTAAAATAACTCCGTTAAAGTAAGAATGTAATTAAGGAAAATCACACTACAAAAGACCAAATCTAATTAACAGCATTTACTATTAATGTGCTTAAATATTATTCAGACACAAGTCTGAAAGAAATAAGGCAGTCTAAAATATTTAATTTGCTGCTAATTTCATAAGAAATATTTTGCTGATAAGAAACAACAAGATGTGGACATCTCAAGGCCCTCCTGCCTGCTTGTAAAGGAAAAGAAAAAAGGAATGAGTGGCTTTGGTTTTTCTCCTTGAACATAAATTTTTAACAGTAGTGGTAAACAACTAAGCAATTTACCACATTACTAGAAAAATAAATATATAAATGACTAATTTAGGAGTCAAAAGAAAAATCTGTCTCATTCTCCTATATTTTTCTTCAAAATGCACTGGAGAATAACCTATTAATAGCGATAAAGCAGGAAATCAGACCAAGGTTTTTATGTCCTAATGACCTAAAAGTACATAGCACAGATCACAGCTCCCACCAGCTCCCGCAGAAATGTGTGTGATAAGTCACTGCTTCATCTTTGCTTTCCAGTTTCATAGTGTTGATATGAATGCACACATATGGCCCTTCTGATGCTGCAGAGGTGAGGAGCATTTGATAATGTTTGAGTGTTCTTGTGGCTGACAACAGGTGCAGCAATTAGGCCTTACAGTTCTCTCCAATAAAAGACATGAAGCAGAGATACCAGTTAGGGAAGGAGATCAGCTTCTTACTAGGTAAAGTAAGTTCAAGGGTAAGCTACTGGGGAATCTTCAGCCATTCTCAGACTGGAGACTTTCTCCTCGTCTAATCACCATCCATGTTAGATAGCTCTTTTGCAGTTCTCAGAAAGATACCATGCATTTTCTGAGATTTGATTTGCTTTAGATTTCCACATAAGCATTTTTGCTGTCACAATTGTATACTCAATTGCATACATTGTGTTGACTGCATTTTCATTTTCCAAGAGTTCGCTGTCACCTGTGGGTGAAATTTGCTTTAATTTCTGCAGAAAAATGGGAAAAATTGTTGTACAAATAGAGTCATCTGTCAGTTCCTTCATCCTGGTGATTTTTCAGGAAGGATATACAAAAGTATATCCTGAAGAATGAACAAAGACTATTCAGGTGCAAAGCTCTATTCCAAAAAACTTGTCAAATGTACAAGTCTTCATTCCAGCAAACTACGAAGCAGAAGTTATACAGTAAAATAAAGCCTAGAAAGCACACTTCCGAAAACTCCGAGACATGTAAATATTCCACATGTAAAGTCGAGATTTGGGGAGCTTTGGGAAGAATGGATTACTTTCTGATTTTCTTTTCACGTAAAGCAAACCTCAAACAAATACCATATTTGTAAAGGCATTTTTAAAAGTTTACAAATGCATAAATTAAGAGATACAGGTTATAAGCTGTGACACTCTTTGAACCACAGTTCCATCTAATGCACATTTGGAGGGCATTATATTAAGTAAAACTCCATTATTATTCTTTTGGAAAATAGTATGGACCTGATCCAAACCCTTTCAAAGCCTGGAATGAGGATGAAAATAATTTCAGGATGAATCTCAGAGTGTATCCATAAACAAAAGCTCAGGTACAGAACTGAAAGAGCTCAGAAATAAATTAACACAGGGATTAAACCCCAGGAAAGCTGGGAGATTTGGTGGACTTTTGACTCTAAAGACATTTATAAAGATGAAGTGAGAATCATCTGTACTCATCTGATCCTTCTCGTGCTTGAGAAAGTGCTTACCTTTGCAACTTCCCTAGTAAGCAAAGATGATTACAACAAAAGAACCCTGATTCATACCAAGTTTCTCTTTCAGATAGGAATTGCCTATAAGATCATAAATGTGGGTTGGCTGTATCAGCCTGACTGGGTAGAGTTTTCATTTTACAAGCTAGGAATGGAAGCAGAAGGAAATCATGGACCAAAAGCTACTTCAGTAGCAAGAGCGACCAAACTCGGCAGTAAGTCCAGGGCTACAACCCTAAGCACTGGTAAATCCAGCCACTGTAAGTAGACTTCTGGTGTCAGAGATAACTGGTTACGGCCTCCTGAAGCAACTCAGAGTTTTATTTCTGTTTCCAGTCTCTTGCACAGAAATACCTCCTCACATGCTCCATCCATTCTCATTCTGTTCAAAGCTACATGCCAAAGTGACCTCTAATTTCTTCTCACTCATTTCTTCCATCCCACAATTGGATCCCCACATTTCAATGATTCAGTCAGTTTTAGCACACTCTGTACAATGCACTTATTATAAAAGTTCCTTGCCTCGTTTCCTGGAAAGGTTTCTTAAAAAAACAAGCAATGGCCACTGAGACAAAAAAGGCAGAACAGACCGGGAAGATACAAAGGTTTTAGTCTATCAGTTTCCAAGCTAGAGCTCCCCACCTCCCAGCCCAATTACAAACCTTATAATCTCTTCACAGAAGGGGCATCTTCACCATCAACATCATCTTTATTTTTGTTTGAAGAATGCCTAGCAGTGCTGACTTAATGAAACAGCAAAGGATGGTGCTTGCCTTTTACATAGGGACTGTTATCTCAATACAAACTGCTACTGAAAACAATGCAGCCCAGATTTCACTCTTTACAATGCACGTAGAGCTCACTGATACAGGATATCAAAAGGCTGAGAGTTGAAAAGATGTCAAAAAAGGGAATGGATATTTACAGAATTTTATATAAGTAATGAAAACACCCAAAACTGCAACAATGGAGGCTATTAAAAATAACATCAACAACGTAGGCGTGGTGATAGCAACATTATAGGGTCATGCTACAGGGTCAAATCAGAATGGTCAAAGATTAGGAAAAGCTTCTATAGCAATTTCATTTCATAATTATCTGTAGAAAGTTTGTCTCATGATTGCCTGCTGTGTGATAAACACAATGTGCTGAATGCTGGTTTTGTATGGCAGTTTCTATTCTCCTAACTCAGGAGTTAATTTTAAAGTAAGAAATGAAAGCAACCCAAATCATTTATGCCACAAGTCTTTGTGCTTGATATTAATTAAAAATATACATTTCCAGAGCTATAACGCAAACTGGATTTAGACAACCTAGATCTTCTCCAGATTTAAATTTCTTCATCTACCTGAAAGTGCTTTGGAATGTTTGCACAGAGTTTGTCAAATCTTTTGGTAGACTGCAACAGCACTGTTATAAAAATGATTCAGAATTCCAAACACTTCATCTTGTACAGTGCTCCAGGAGGTAAAAGGAAATTATTTAGAAGCCAATTGAATGGTGACCTGTATGCTATTTCAGAGCATACATTTCCCAGCTGAAATACCGGGCATGCATATTTCCAAAATGTGCTTCTGAAGATACTTGATAAATGATACATCATACCAAATATTTTATTTCCACAAGTCCTTCTTTATAAGTGATAAATGACTGTTGAAAGATGACTGTCAGTGACTTTCATGTAAAGCTTCAAATGCAGCCTCAATTCGTTTCTTACCCATTTTTTCTCCACTGAAGCCTGTTGCATTAAACAACTACTTTTACTGAGAAATTAATTTTCATTTGATAGAGTGGCAGCATTGCTGCATTTCAACAGGAGGCAGTTATTCCCGAGCCTATATCCACATACGTGTTTTATGAATTTTCCACCTGTCTCCAGAGTAGCTGAAACCTTCCCTATAAAATCAACAGCAAAATCCCTCTTAGACTTTATAAAGTCTCTAGTTCGATTCTTTATTCACAGAGGACATGGAGGGAGAGAAGGAAGTAAAATTTCCTCTAGGATAGCTTTTTTCCTGACTTTATGTTTTG